ATCGTTGTCACATTAACCATCACCCGTCACATGGTTTACGTGAAATGCTGTCGGAAACAAAGTCAATGCACTGGCAAAACTGACCTAAGTAGAAGACAACGAGTGAAGGTACTTTTCGTGTGGCAAAGTGCTCGATCCTATATTGCCTATTTACTGATTAATGATTACAGCTCATGCTCGCAAAAGCTCTTGAGGCAAATCATGCGAAGACACTTGTCCTGTCTGACCCTCGTAATTGATGGCATCAGTTCTCGCCCGATCTGGCCTTTGTTTTTGGGTTGTTGAGACATGGTAAACGCGATGTGATTGATGATTTCTTTTTAAATTATTCCAACAATTGCCTCGGAGTGACTTCTCCGGATTGGCACACTTTCTAAACCAAAGATAAGCCCTCAGTTCTGCAAGCATTCGCATGCCGTTAAACAGCCACAGAAACAGAAAAAAATAAATTATTTAATTAAACAGAATAGAAAACATGAACACATCAGCCTGTGGACATTAATTAAACAGGCAGCTAATCTCTTAATGAACATGAAAAAAAAATATTTTTTTTTACGTCTTCTACATTGTTAATGTCCTGAAACAGGTTTCCGCTAATTCAGTCAGTGCGGGTGGCCATGCAGAAACGGCGAATACTGGCACAATCACTGGCGTTAATTGAGTTCCTTTTGTTGCCAATGATAATTCATTTTGCAGTAGGTCGCATTGGGTAAAAAAAGACTCATACAAAATTATGCCTTCAACGTGTTCAACACAGCTTGCTCTGTTGTGCCAGTCCTTTTCAACATAGTCTGCGAAAAATCTCGCACCTCTTAATAAAGGCATTGAGAAGAATGCTGCTAAGAAGATCGGTATTTTAGTGACAATCGCACACGCACACTTGACATGAAAGGAGACTATTTGTTTGACTTGAAGAGGTTATTGGAAGTGGTGTCTTCATAGCTACGTGTGCTCATGTTGTGAACAACATGAGTGGCCACAAGTGTCATTACTTAGAGCTTAATTTACTGCACCACCTGAGGATCAAACATATTATTTATGACCGTTAAGTGTAAGGCACGGCTAATTTGATATTAGTAACGATTCTTTAACAATTGTTGCACAATCTTGTTTGCAGCCCGATGATCTAATTATCTTATGGCACAGAAAAACTACCTTTTCAAATTAGTGCAGAAAATGAATCAAGCGATCAACTGTAAATCGATGGCCTGTCCAGCTGTTTGCATATTACTTTGTACAGATTTCTAACACTCGGCGGAGTTGATAGAAGAGCAATTAGAGTCTAATATTTGCCTCCTGAAAAGACGGCAATGTTGGGTGCAAAACTCGTGGGGAGATGTAAGTGGATTTTTTTACATTTCTAAGTGTTTAGTTTCTACTACATGCAATCCCTGTGAATTGATATTTGTAGTACGTGCATGAACTAAACATATGCATATTCCTCTGCGGATGTAATCACAATCAAAGTGCATGCTGGTAAGTTTCCTGTTCCTAAGCCGGTTTCATTATCGGTGGTCAGACAAGCCACATAGAAACGTGTTCACCAAGATATTGCGCCCGTTATGTCCTTGCGTGTCGAAAGTCCACCTGTATAATAGACAAATTTGCACTCCACGACCACAGAATTTACT